TTTTTGCTGAGGAAGACTGGCCCTGGGCTAACATCTGTGCCCATCTTCCTCCACTTTATATGGGACGCCACCACAGCATGGCCTGACAATAGGTGCATCGGTGCGCGCCCGCGATCCCAACTCGGGCTGCCAGCAGCAGAGCGTGCGCACTTAACCACTGCGCCATGGGGTCGGTCTCAGTTATTTGACTTTTATAATTAAGTTTTAGGAGGTTTAGATATTTTTGATATCACTTCTTTCTCAGATAAATGATTTGCAAAATTTAATTCCATTCTACGGGTTGTGTTTTCACTCTCTTGCCTTAAAAATTTTACTTTTAATTGTGGTAATACACACATACCATAAAATTTACATTTTCAGCATTTTCTAAGTGTATAGTTTAATTATAGCACACGTCAGAATTTGCTTTCTTTTTAAAGCTGAATAATACACCATTGTATGTACGCGCCAAATTGTTTTCATCCGTTCATCTGTTGATGGGCACTTGGGTAACTTCCACCCTTTGGTTATTATAAATAATGCTAACATAAACACGAGTACACATATATCTAAGTCTCCACTTTCAATCCTACTTCAATTCTCAGAAGTAGAATTTCTAGTTCAGAGGGTAACTCCGTTTGTAATTTTTGAAAGAATCACCACGTTGTATTTCATACCATCAACATAATTTTATATTCCCAGTGATAGTGCACAAGGGTTCCAAAGGGTGTTTTCACTCTCTTGATAGTGTCCTTTGAAGCACAAAGTCATTAACTTGATGAAGTCCAAATTACCTTTTTTTTTTTTTTTCTATTTTGCTCTTGGTGCCTTATCTAAAATTGTTTGACAAGTCCAAGGTCAGGATTATTTTCCTACGTTTTATCTAAGTATGTTATTGTTTACTCTTATGTTTAGGTCTTTATCCTTTCTGGTAAATTATTGTATTTGATGTCGTGTAAGGTTGAAACCTCTTTCTTTTGCATATGGCTATCCAGTTGGCCCACCACCAACATATACGAAGAATATTCTTGCCCCATACTTGGAACCTTTTTCAAGTATCAGTTGACCACAGATGTATAGGTTTATTTCTCAAATCTCAATCTATTCCACAGATCTCTATGTCTATCCTTGCGTCAGAACCACACACTCTTGATTACCATCGCATGTTACAAAGTTTTAAATGAGGAAATGTCAGTCCTACCCCTTTGTTTTTCTTTTTCCAGATTGCTTTGGCTATTCTGGTTAACTTGCAGTTCCACATAATTTTATGAAAGAGCTTCCCAATTTGTATAAAGGAATAAGCTGGGATCATGACAGGTATGTGCTGAATCTCGGATCATTGGGGGAGCAGTGCCATTTCAACAATGCCAAGTCTTCTGATCAATGAAATTGGGACAATTTCCCATTTATTTATACATTTTTAATTTCTTTTGACCATATGTTGCAGTTCTCTGAGTATTCATTTTGTACTTCTGCTAAATTTATTCCTAAGTATTTTATTCCTTTTGATTTTATTGCGAATGTATTTCTTAATTTCATTATCAAATTGGTCATTTCAAGTATACAGAAATACAATTGATTTTTATATTTTGATGTATCCTACCATTTGGCTGACCTTAATTATCAGTTCTAATTATTTTTTTAGTGGATTCCTTGGAGTTTTCTAAAAACAAGATATCTCAGCTAGAAGTAGAGAGAGTTTTAAATCTTTCTAACCAATCCTTATGCATTTTTTGATGTCTTAATAGTTTGTAACATTGTGAAATTTTGGTTGTACATTATTGTTTGCCAGTCACCATATAAATGCCTCCTTTTACCCCTTGTGCCCACCCCCCAACAGCCTTGCCCCTGGTAACCACCATACAGTTCTCTCTGGCCGTGTGTTGGTTTATATTCCATATATGAGTGATATTCATGTGGTATTTGTCTTTTTCTCTCCAGCTTATTTCACTCAACATAATATCCTCCAGGTCCATCCATGTTGTTGCAAATGGGAAGATTTTGTCTTTTTTATGACTGAGTAGTATTCCATTGTATATATATACTACATCTTCTTGATCCAATCATCAGTTGAGGGACACTTGGGTTGCTTCCACTTCTTGGCTATAGTGAATAATGCTGCAATGACATAGGGGTGCATAAGCCTCTTGGGATTGGTGATTTCAAGTTTGTTGAATAGATTCCCAGTAGTGGGACAGCTGGCTCGTAGGGTATTTCTATTTTCAATTTTTTGAGGAATCTCCATACTGTTTTCCATAGAGGCTGCATCAGTTTGCATTCCCATCAGCAGTGAATGAGGGTTCCCATTTCTCCACACCCTCTCCAACATTTGTTTTTTGTCTTGGTGATTGCAGCCATTTTCTGACTGGTGTAAGGTGATATCTTAGCGTAGTTTTGATTTGCATTTCCCTGATGATCAGTGATATTTAACATCTTTTCATATGCCTATTGGCCATCTGTATACCTTCTTTGGAGAAGTGTCTTTCCATTTCCTCTGCCCATTTTTTGATCGGGTTGCTTGTCTTTTTGTTGTTCAGTTGTGTGAGTTCTTTATATATTATTTAGATGAACTCCTTGTCAGATATGTGTTTTGCAAATATTTTCTTTCAGCTGGTGGAGTGTCTATTCATTTGCCTGGTTTCATTTGCCTTGTAGAAGCTCTTTAGTCTGATGAAGTCCCACTTATTTGTTTTTTCTTTAGTTTTTCTTGTCCAAGTAGACATGGCATCGGAAAAGATTCCTTTATGACCAATGTCAAATAGTGTATTGCCTTTATTTTCCTCTAGGAGTTTTATAGTTTCATGTCTCACCTTCAAGTCTTTGATTCACTTCGAGTTAATTTTTGTGAATGGCGAAAGCAGATGGTCTACTTTCACTCTTTTGCATGTGGCTGTCCAGTTTTCCCAGCAGCATTTATTGAAGAGACTTTCCTTTCTCCATTGTATGTTCTTAGCTCCTTTGTCAAAGATTAGCTGTCCGCAGATGTGCGGTTTTATTTCTGGGCTTTCAGTTCTGTTCCATTGATCTGTGTGTCTGTTTTTGTACCAGTACCATGCTGTTTTGATTACTATTGCTTTGTAGTGTTTTGAAGTCAGGGATTGTGATGCCTCCAGCTTTGTTCTTTTTTCTTAGTATTGTTTTAGCTATTTGGGGTCTTTTGTTGCCCCATATGAATTTCAGTATTTTTTGTTCTATTTCCATGAAGAATGTTCTTGGGATTCTGATTGGGACTGCATTGAATCTGTAGATTGCTTTAGGTAATATAGATATTTTAACTGTTTATTCTTCCAATCCATATGCATGGGATATCTTTCCATTTCTTTACGTCATCATCG